GGGAACTACATAGGACTGAGCCTGGAGGGATGTGAGCAAGATCCCCAAGGACTGCCCAGGAGACAGGATCCATGGAGAAGCAACAGGAACGATTGGGTCATCAGCTGGGCATTGCCCCATCTTCTCTGGGTGCCACAAACCCCTGAGGTTGATTCCACCAACAAGAACAGCCTACGTCCTGGTTCGGCCTTCAGGGTTCCAGGTTCCACCATTATTTTAGAGATGGATTATTGTAATTTGTTGACAGAAGCAAACACCATGATCTCCAGTTAGAAGTTGCAGGCTGTTTAACTTTTATATCTCTTATGCTCTTATTGCTTGTACAGGCTATCAAAATTATGGAACTGACTTTGGAAAAATATGGAAGCTATGAAAATTTTGAACAAGCCACTGGAGGAAGCCTGCTGCCCAGAAGCCGTATCTGGAATCATGTCCGGAAATATATGGTGAAAGAAGGTTGCCTTGGCGAGGTTGGACTATTTACTGGAACATCACCTCAGGCTAAAGCATCAAAGCTTCCTATACATCCCTCCATCACATCTTTCTTTAATACATTTTAACATTTGTTGTTAATAGGAAAACACTGCTCTTTTTCAAAATACCACTGGGCATCTGTAGAGATGCCCAGTGGTATTTTGAAAAAATTGTGGTCATGACACATTTGGGTCCTTTTGGAACAGTGGTTCCCAACATTTTTTTGACCAGGGACCACTTGGATTAGGGAACACTCTCCCAACATTAGTACCAAAAGGGTTACGAATTTGGTCAACTTTAGATTTGATTTGGTTATTTGGGGTGTTGATTCAGAAAATTGCTATGGATAGACGACATCAGCTCTAGTTTCTGATACAGAATATGCCATCTAGTAGTTGCCATCTACTCACCCACAGAAAGCCATATGTGATAATCTAGAGCTGATGTGGTAGTAATAATCTTCGGTGGATAGTCAGCCTCTCCTCTCCCAACATCCCCGTTGCCTCAGCACTATAAGAGGATTTCACAAGAGCTGTAGCTCTCGTTGCCACATGGTTTTGAGGCAACAGTGTAGTAATGGTGAGGCTGCAGATCATATTTTCATTCTTGCGGACCACTGTTTTAGAAGAATCACTGTTTTAGAAGAAGGCCCTATTGAGTGTTTTCACAGAATAGGGAGAATAAGTGGGAGAAAAGTTAGATAATAGCATGCTTGAGCAAGGGATGGACTGTGATAGATTTTAGATATTCTAAGATCTTCTGGGGGAGGCCCTCCTCTCAGTCCCACTACCATCTCAAGCGCGGTTGGTGGGGATGAGAGAGAGGGCCTTCTCAGTGGTGGCCCCCCGTCTCGGAATGCCCTTCCAAAGGATAAGACAGGCCCCATCCCTCCCCTCCTTTTGTAAGAGGTTGAAGACCTGGTGGTTTCAACAAGCCTTTGAAAATGACCAGTTCTAACTCAGCCCTACACATTGTCGAATACGGCCTTATTCTTCCTACCAGTTACCCAGATTCTTTCCTCTAATCGACCCCAGAATGAACAGCCACAGACACGTACCTAATATTATTGTTGCCTGCCATAGCATTGCACTTAATTTTTGCACAAATCTTGACCCAGCCTTTTACATTTTTAATTGCCTTGAACAGGCAGGATTACTTTTAATATATGTGTGTTATAGCAGCAATTTTTATGCTTATATTTTGTTTGTTAATCTTATGGTTATGTTGTTTTTACTCTGTATGTTTTGTGATGTTTCTTGGGAATCGCTCTGAGTTCCCTCGGGGAGATGGAGCAGTATATAAATAAAGTTTTATTATTATATAATTATTATGTTATGACCTGGGACATTTAAAAACCAGTGTATCACATTCCTACGAATTTGAATTTAGATATTAGTAGAATGCATACTGGAACCTTCTTGCTTGAAGACTTGGGAAGTGATATGAAACAATTCTACAGTATGGCAAAGTAGTTTGGAAATTCTTAATGTGTGGTTTGTGCAGTATGCTTCTGTCCTATAGGAACATAAGAAAGGAAGTTTTAGACAATTTCCACTTGAAAAATGAGGAAATTAGGTATTTGAGGAAGGAGATAAATAGCAAGTATACAGAAATGAGAATGTGTCTAAAGCTGGGAAATGTTTAAAATCTCAAATCTCCGTCTTTCTTCAGATTGTAGTTCATCTCTCTGAAGACTTGCTTTCTCGGGCCTCAATGACAGTGGTGAATGGCCGCCCGACTCTTACTATCAATGTTTCCACTGCACGAGAGCATTGGTTGGAAGGAATGCTGAGGCATGAAATAGGTACCCAAATAATGTAACTGCCTATTCTACAGGGCGTTTCAAAATCAGGGCCCCAATTGCAAAGCAGTTTATGTCATGGTGGCAACATGCCATAATTACACAAAAATGGTTTAATGAGTTATTGTCTTTGAAGACTGTTTGAAAGCTTTAAGTAGCCCAGTGGGCGGCAGCCAGGTTTCTAAGTGGAGCGACTCACAGGGAGCATACAACTCCCCTGTTGAGCCAGCTTTACTGACTGCTAGTTTGCTACTGAGCACAATTCAAAGTGCTGGCCTATAAATCCTAAATGTTCGGTTCAGCTTAACCTATCTGAATGTGTTCTCCCTTTATGAGCCAGTGGGAGCATTAAGATCGCGCAGGACTGAAGACCGACAGGTCGCAGGTTCAAATCCGGGGAGAGGCAGATGAGCTACCTCTATCAGCTCCAGCTCCTCATGCGGGGACATGAGAGAAGCCTCCCACAAGGATGATAAAACATCAAATCCCCTGGGCAACGTCCTTGCAGACGCCCAATTATCTCATACCAGAAGCGACTTGCAGTTTCTCAGGTCGCTCCTGACATGACAAAAAAAAAAGCTGAGGAGGTCCTGCTCTTGGTCTCATCACCCTAGCAGGGACGACTGGTGGAGACGAGACAGGGCCTTCTCGGTGGTGGCCCTTCAGCTGTGGAACTCCCTCTCCAGTGAGATCAGATCAGCCCCTTCCCTCCTGACATTTAGGAATCTATTTAAAACGTGGCTTCTCAAGCGAACATTTGTGGAGTGAGATGAAGCAGTCAAGATAATTTCGGAATTGGTGCAATGTCGAATGTTCTATATTTTATGTTTGTTGATATCTGATGTTTTACAGTTTACTGGTTTAATCTATTGTATATGCTATTTTAGTTATGTGTTGTATTTTATATTTTGTGAGGCATTGAATTTTGCCATTTACTTTGTTGTGAACTGCTTTGAGTCCCCCCCCCCCCCCAGGGGTTGAGAAAAGTGGTATATCAATGAAATAAATAAATCAATAAATCAATTTAATTTTGTTTTAAATTCTGACAACTTGTTAATTTTCGAAGCTCTTCTGGCAGGCGATTCCACAGTCGTTGGGTGGCTGATGAAAAGGTCATAGAGGTCACAGTGGCCAGTTGGGTTCTGACTGGTTGAAGTAAGCATCTCCCAGAGGACGACAGTGTCCTAAGGGACAGAATGTGCAGGAGAAGGTGATCCTGTAGGTAACCTGGACCCAAAACACGTAGGGCTTTAAAGGTCAAAGCCAATACTTTGCTCGGAAACTCATTGGCAACTAGTGGAGTGACTTTAAAATGGATGTAATATGCTCACTCGTAGATGTTCCAATGTAAAGTTTGGCCCTCACAGCTAGCTGCGTCCTGATCTGGCTCTCAAGAGCCTGCTACAGAGTACCTTGTTCCTCCTGCCCCTACTGTGTCCAGGGAAGAAGCAGGAGGAGTAATGACTGGTTGATGGGTAGACGCTGAGTAGAAAAGCTGTACCTAGTGCATTGGCTGCAGGTTAAATAGTGTCACTGGGTGTCAGCACATTTTTAGACTTACTAAAGTGTTCATCAACATGGCAGAGATGTCCCTGAAAAAGGATATTATCTAAAATGCCATACTCACAACTATCAAATATATTACCTGAAGCTTCTTCCATTATTCTTTATATCCCCCAACATACTGATATTGCATACTTTTTTTTAATTGCAGGAACTCATTATCTGAGAGGCATTAACAACAATAGCCAGCTGTGGAGCAACTGGAATGGGCGTAGAAAGCATGGGTTAAAACCCATTAACCCCACCGAGGAAGGCCTGGCGAGCCTCCACAGTGTTCTTTTTCGAAAGGATCCCTTTTTATGGAGGGCTGCTCTCCTGTATTACACTGTCTATCAAGCCAGTCAAATGTCCTTCCGAGAGCTGTTTCAGGATATCGGTAAATTTGTCACAGACCCCAATACTAGGTGGGACTATTGTGTTCGAGCCAAGAGGGGCTGGACTGACACTTCCCAACCCGGTAAGGCATTTGTATGATTGTTTCAACTCAAATATTTTCTTTTGAGCCATGTTTGCGATGAAGATCCTACCAAGCTCAAAAAACAAAAGTGCATATTAGGACAGAAAATATCCTTTCAAGCCTCAAAAGGGAAAAAATATTTTTAAGAAGTGAAAGGGACAGCATCCTGGTTGGATATGTATTAGACAGAAATGATAAAGATGATTCATACAGATGGTCACAGTATGAAGAGGATGCTATTGTATTATTATTATTATTATTATTATTATTGACACAAAAACACTATGTCATAGCAAATGAGATAGATATGCTGGATTTTGTATTATTATTATTATTATTATTATTATTATTATTATTATTATTATTGAGAAATGTTGATCATCTGCCTTTTTTTAGTATTCACGACCAAGTCCTTGTCATAGAGTCCTTCCACACAGTCATATAACCCAGGATAGCAAGGCAGACAATCCCACAATATTAGCTTTGAACTGGGTTATTTGAGTCCACACTGCCATATATTCCAGTTCAAAGCAGATAATGTGGGATTTTATTCAGCTGTGTGGAAGGGGCCTGAGATGCCACTAAAGGAGTTCCCTGAAATTTAAAAGGATTAGCATTTTAGTTGTTTAAATCTACATAGGCAAAGAGTACATACATTGGACAAAAGAATATATTCCATCGCAGAACTTGCATTTCATTGTTGTTTTGATTCATCCCATCTTAAATGTTGAGCTGCTAGAATCAACAAATGTTAGGCATGGGATGTTAGACTTTCTTTGGTGAAATTGAGTTGCATTTTGTCCAAAGAGTTGACTAGATTTTAATATATATGTGTTATGGCGACAATTTTTATGCTTATATTGTTTTGTTAATCTTTTGGTTATGTTGTTTACTCTGTATGTATTGGTGATGTTACTTGGAATCCAGTCTGAGGACAGAGCGGTATATAAATAAAGATTATTATTATTATTATTATTATTATTATTATTATTATTATTATTATTATTATTATTACACTTGAATGTGGAGCAATATATTGATCTACTAATATGCACCCTAATCCTAAATGCATTTAGATAAAAACAAATCTCACTGAGTGCAGTAACATGTAGTCTGCGTAAATGTGTTTTAGCCCGCAGTCTTAAAACACAATCCTTTGCATAACTTGCAGAGTGAACTTTAATCTATATTTAATATGTGTATATTTGTTATGTGTATTTTAATAGTGTTTTGTTTTATCTCGCTGTTTTAACCATGTTTTAACCTCAAGTCACCAGGAGAGGTGGGAAATAAATATTATTATTATTTACTATATTTATACCTGCCCGTCTCAACCCCATAGGGGACTCAAGGCAGCTTACATATAAATTCAACAATTAGATGCCAAAAACACACATAATAAAAACATAAGCATTCAAACAATTATCAAAACATAATAAAACCTTAAAACTAATGATTTAAAATCACACAATCCAATATCATAGTCCGTGGCTGTTCCAACGTGTTGTTGCACTATTTCATCTTCTCTTATTGCATTCAGTGAGATTACTCATAGAATGCTTGGTCGAACATCCACATTTTAGCCTTTTCCTAAAGGTCAAGAAGGAGGGGGCTGATCTAATTTTACTCGGGAGTTCCATAGCCAAGGGGTCACCACTGAGAAGGCTCTATCTCTCGTCCCTGCCAACCGCACTTGCAAGTAGGCAGGACCAAGAGCAGGGCCTCCGCAGAAGATCTTAACCTGCTTGCTGGCTCATAGAGGAAGATAAGTTCGGACAGGTAAACTGGGCCAGAACTGTCTTGGCCTTATAAGCTAAAGCCACCACTTTGAATTGTTCTCAGTAGCAGACTGTCAACCAATGGAGCTGATGCAACAGGAGAGATGTCCTCTCTCTGTATGCTGTTCCGGTGAGAAGCCTATGACGCTCCAGTGTGTGTGTGTGTGTGTGTCTCTCTCTCTATATATAGAGAGAGAGACACACACATATAGAGAGAGAGACACACACACACACACACACTGGAGCGTCATAGGCTTCTCACCGGAACAGCATACAGAGAGAGGACATCTCTCCTGTTGCATCAGCTCCATTGGTTGACAGTCTGCTACTGAGAACAATTCAAAGTGGTGGCTTTAGCTTATAAGGCCAAGACAGTTCTGGCCCAGTTTACCTATATAAAGTGTCTCTACAGAATTGTTTCATCATTCATCACAATTCATATACAGAATTGTGTGTGTGTGTGTGTGTGTGTGTGTGTGTGTGTGTGTGTATATATATATATATATATATACAATTCTGTAGAGACACTTTTCCCTAAGTGTGCATAGTATTGAAGCATTATCCTATGCTTTCTTTAAAAAAGTGAGGTCATTTGATGAATTCACCTGGATATTAATCATGTCAATTATAATTTTAGGTTTTGCAATATACTTTTTAGAAATCATCCTGGGATACTATATAATTTTTGTGTAGACGTACATGGGTAAATGCTTTGCTTTTTCTAAAACATGATATTACCACACTAAATCCAATTTTTTCAGGTTGCTTCAGTAAAGATCAGGTCTACTTGGATGGCATCCTTCGGATTCTGAGATACCGACATTCCATTGATTTCTACTTACTCACAGCTCTAGGCAAGGTTGGTGGAACTGTTGGGTGAATAAACTAGCACCATTATGGAGCACAAAGTACTAAAAATGGTACAACTGAAAGTTGGAAAACAGTGGCATGGAAAAACACAAGCTGTTGTCAGTAGATTAGTGAACAGTGTTGTGGACACTAAGCTTGATTATCTTGAGGCCAGGATTTTTAGAACCATGAAATAAATTGCTCATGGGCTGTATTCAAAAATTGTACCATTTTTTTTCTTTTCACCTAGAAAAAACATACTAAGTATCTCAAAGATAAGAAATGCTGATATTGTCTTTTCAGTAATGCTCCTCTACATCTTCTCACCATTCCCTTATGCAATTTGAAGCCCTCCAGTTCCCCCTGAACCTTTTCATGTGGATGGGTTTATGTACACAGTTCTAATGCCCCATTAAATCTAATGTGCACCTCAATTTTGGCAACTTAATTTAGCAAAAAAAAAAAAGAAAAGAAAAGAAAAAGAGTGAGCATTAGACTTGAGTAAAAATAGTAAATTGGGTTGTTGATCTCATATATATCTCCTGTTCTAGTTTCCCATGTTTTTGGTCTAGCACAGTGGTTCTCAACCTTCCTAATGTCGCAACCCCTTAATACAATTCCTCATGTTGTGATGACCCCCAGCCATAAAATTGTTTTTGTTGCTACTTCATAACTGTCATTTTGCTACTGTTATGAATTGTAAATATCCAATATGCAAGATATATTTTCATTCACTGGACCAAATTTGGCACTAATACCCAATACGCCCGATATGCCCAAGTTTGAATACTGGAGGGGCTGAGGGGGATTGATTTTGTCATTTGGGAGTCGTAGTTGCTGGGATTTATAGTTCACCTACAATCAAAGAGCATTCTGAACTCCACCAATGATGGAATTGAACCAAACTTAGCACACAGAACTCCCATGACTAACAGAAAATGCTGGAAGGGTTTGGTGGTCATTGACTTTGACTTTCAGAGTTGTGGTTTACCTACATCCAGAGATCACTGTGGACTCAAACAATGATGGATCTGGACCAAACTTGGAACAAATACTCAATATGCCCAAATGTGTGGTGGAGTTTGGGGAAAACAGACCTTGACATTTGAGAGTTGTAGTTGCTGGGATTTATAGTTCACCTACAATCAAAGAGCATTCTGAACTCCACCGATATAATTGTCCCAAACTTCCTACACAGAACCCCTATGACCAACGGAAAATAGTGTGCTTTCTGGTGGTCTTTGGCGACCCCCCCGGGGGGGGGGGTGTCTAGCACTAAAGATTCAGACAGGACACTTAATGGTGTAGTGGAGCTCAGAACATATCTGGAGAGATCTCACTCTTGAATGTACTCCTTGTAGGTTTCCTATGAAGATGTGGATCGCCTGAGGACTGTAGGGATGACAGAAAACATGAGGGTGCCACACTTTCTGCACGACTACGGCCGGTACATGGAACATTTGGAAAAGATCATGGAAGTCAATGAGCTCTCCGATACTGAGCTTCAGGATCTTGTGCCCTGAGCCAGCCACTCTTCCATTCATCTGCTCTCTGCTTATTTTTTCTTCTTCGAACTCTGGGATATGTGCTCTAACTTATTTTTATGCCTCTCAAAATTTACATTATTTAAATCTGCTTCTTTTGTTTTGCTTTTAAGAAAGAAAAAAATCTGGGTTACAGATTCAGAAGTCACTTATTTTCAGGTTTCTTAAAAGCTAATTTGCACCCTTCTCTCAGGATATACGAGATGTATATTTACTGTCTTAAATTATAGCTGGAACAAAGTCATATCTTTTAAGGATTCCTTTGTGTAGATTCTTCTACATTATCCTTTACAGAATTGTTTCTGAATTGATTTATTCAAGGCATATAACTTAGCTATTTCCATTTCAATATTTAATGTTTTTATTGCTTAAGTTTTCTCATTTTTAAATCCCATTGCTTTGTTTGTTGAATGCATTACTCAGTAATATTCCAACACAGTTTTCAAAAGGTCAAAGAACTTCTATATATTTGTTGTGTCAGCCATCCTTAATGCTGTGTTGTGTACCCTGCTTTCTTCCCTGGAGAATATATTCATAGATGTGTATTTCCTTCCCTTCTATGGAGTTTGCTGTTCTTCACTTCTTGGTCCTTTTCATGTGTTCATATTTTGGTTTAGGTACTTCACATCAGAGCTGATATATCACAGGGGGTAATGTTATTGAGAGATCAGCAAGCTGTACAATATAATCTTCTGAAGTACACCTTCTGAGACTCAAGGAAATGTGTCCTTTTTATCTAAGGGAACACCGAGTGCATACTAGAAAGTTCAGGGAAGTTTAGATCCTTTTCTTTGCAACCATAGCCATGGATGTTGGAAAAGTCTGGTTGGATCAGAATCTGTTGATTGTGTGTCCCTATAAGGTTGTAATATTCACAATAACAAAAGTTCTACTGACAGTGTCAGTGGGATGCTTTCCCCATTTTTATTTCATTAAGGAGGGGAGTGATATGTGAAACAATAGCCAGCGAAAAATGCTTTCAGACAGCGTTCATTATATTCTTTGAGATAGTGTCATAAAAACATTTCCCTGTGTTGCATAATAATTTCAGTAAAATGCCCTTTCTTTTCTGCTTGCATTTTTTTAAAATTATGTAAGAAGGTTCCAAGAGAAGAAGATGAGAATTAGAATCAAATTTCAGGACAAGAATTTTTTAAGTCTCGGGTCCTTATACATTTGTTCCGTAGAAGCCCCGCTTTGTTCTATTACCATATTTACTTGTGTCTAATGCTCAACCCTTTTTGACTAAATTACATCATCAAATTGAAAAGCATATTAAGATTCAGTGACATGTTAGACTGATGCATATAACATGCATGAAAAGGCCCAGAAGGACCCGGAGACCAGACAGAGAGGCGGGGAGCAAAGAGGCTGTTCCCGGTGGTGGCCTCAGGGCTCCATGGTGCTCAGAGAAGGAGGAGGAACACCTAGCTGGTTACCTACTTGTTCCTACCACGTAGCTACGGAGGAGCCATGCACAAGAAGCATTGCCCTTCTCCCACTGGGATGTCTTGCCCATTCATCCCCAAGGCTCAACACTGTGCTGTTCCCAACTAGTCTCATTCACTGAGTCTTCAAAACTGAGGAGGAGGGTTTGAAGGTCTCGTGGGAACAGGGCAAGGGTGAGGAGTTTACTATCCTCAGCCTGACAGATGAGCTGCTTCCCAAGTGGACTCATTTATGCTGCCTACCTCCCTGATGCACTTTGCCTTCACCATTAGGCACATTACATTTGATGGCAAATCCATTTTTTGTAATGTACACCATCAAAATTGGGGTGCACATTTCATTCCATGGTGCATATACTCGAGTAAATAATGGGTATATACATTCTTTATTAACCAATGTAAGTTATGCATGGTTATGCCATGAAATGAATGTATATTTATTTTTCTCAATAGAGATGTATCTTCCTTTGTAGTGAACCTAACTTATTTGCTAATCAGTTTTTCATCTGGAAGTAGGTGACTGGTTTCATTGCTAATGGATGTTCCTTTCTCAACCAGTATCTCACAAGTCTAGGTCACTAGTCTAGGTATCCCTGAACCACTTACCAATATCTCACTTGTCTAGGTATTTCTGAACCATTTTGTGTATTTTTCATTTTTTTTTCACATGCCAGCACTTCGTTGTTTTGATCTGGGCATCTTCCTTTCTTGACCCATGAGACCAGTCGGGAATATGAGCTGTTCCTGGAGAAAGACATGCATGTCACCACCATTCAGGAAGGTCCCACAGCAACTAAAGGGTTCATGCCTTGTCAGAAGCATGTTTTCCTTTCTATTAGGATTTTGGTGTTATATAGTCACTACAAGGCAGAACCAACTTCTCTTCAACATTTTCAGATTGCTCAAATAGCAATTTCAACAATGTTGAATAACTTATTTTTTTAAAAGCTGCAATTTTAATTATACACAGAGTCCCATGAGAGTTTTAGAAGTGAATTTACGGCTCCCTCTACCATACTGTTTATCTAGTGTGGTTTTTTTGTTTTTTTAAAAAATGTGTTTATTAATCCATTTAAGTACAACTTCAGTGAATTAAAGTATAACTTAAACATACCCATCAAAATGCATTCAGGCACAGTGAAGATAATTCCAGTTTGGAAGTTAAAAGTAGATTTCTGGTGTCTATAAGCTTGTAATAAAAAATACTTAACTAGAAGATACTGAAAGTTTTGAATAATCTACAAAACTAAAAGCTTAAAAATGGCATTTTGTCAATGGAGTGACGGATTGAAAATAGCATTCCACAGAATACCTAACAAAACTTGGACCAACACAATAGCCTTAATTTTCTATTATTAATTAACACTGTTTATTTGCGGGAAATTGTGGGATGCGCTCCTGAATGCACTAAATGTCTGAATTTTAAAATGTCTCAATCAACTCCTGAATTCTCCGTTTTCAACATAGACATTTTTTTAAATTTATCACTTCTGATTTTGCATGTTTCGATCCACTTCCACTAATTTGCATGAACACTTTGTCAATGTGCTGTAAACAATATACACCAACAGCCTAAGCTGTATGATGAAGAAAACTAAAGCAGCATTCTACATATCTCTGGTTCAATATTTAATACTGTTTAGTAGGCAATAGATTGGATTGTGGCGCTCAGAGTTGGAGTATCTCTGTGATATAAGGAAAAATAATAATTTTCTCAGGTCTTACAGTAGCACAAACTACTGCTTAGCGCCTCCCTCTACTCTGTTTTCTCTCCCTTCTCTAATCTGCTGCTTCAGTCCTTTCAGATTGTACTGCCAGAAACTGATAGGTCAAGAGGAGATTGGCAAAGGTCTTTATCCATAATCACACAGAAAAATAGTGTTGTAACCTTGGGTGGCTCAAGCACTACAGAACCTGAATCATACCTTTCCACATCTCTTAGGTAAAATAATCATTCATTCTTAGGATACTACACTTGGGAACAATGGATTTGTATCAAGAGAGCCTTAAGACCAGGGCTGAGAATCACACAGCCTTACAAATGTCTTTGTGTTTTGTTTTGTTTTTTGCTCCTGGCATTCCTCACTGTTGGCTTTTCATACTAGTGATTGGAGTAACCTTCATACCAAAACGAGAAGGCCCAAAGATTCCCAACCCTGATTATGATTAATGTGTAAAAGTATGTACATTTTATCCAAAGGCCATGCATTGGTAACTAAAATAATCTGCCTTTGTTTATTTACTTTATATTTTCATTACTTCATTTTTCTCAAAGTATCTCCATTCGTCTTAATGACTGATTTGTCTTGACTTGATTTTTTAAACTTTGTGAATATCATCAAATCATAATTATCTGTGTATTTTGGTCAGTTAAATGGTTCCTTCGTATTACTCCGTACCTATCAAATTCTTAGTTCCAAAAAGCCATGTATCTATTTTTATACATCCTCGTGTTGCGCGTCAACTGCAGTTGCTTTTTCACAGTGTGATACTAAAGTCTTTTTACTGTACTTGTGGCCGTGTGCTGCTCTTTGTGATCAGACTAGAGGTTGCAAATAATAATTGTGATACAGTATTGTTTAAATCCAACCTTCCTTGTTTTGCTTCGTTGATGTAAACCCAATAGTTGTCTTAAAGATCTCAACTTTAAATTATGTACTATTTACATTTGTAGTAGTCACATCGTTATTTGAACAAATGAGTACAGTTCAGTACAAATTGAGATTTTGATTGTTAATATAGTATATGTCATTTAGCCAGCTATTTGTTAGTACCAACTTTATTCTATTTTTACATAAATGTTGTAGATAGGTAATTTGTACACTGTTTTGGGTATATATATATATATACTGTATATGGTGATAAACATGTTATAAGGTTGAAAGGTAGTACACCATTTGTATAGGTCTGCCCAGAAAGTCTTGTGATGGTTATATATGACTAATAAGGAATCTTGAGTATTTTATAGAGCTGTAGTCACTTTCAGTGAAAGAGTGATTGAGTAACAAGATCCTGCCAGTCTGAAAAACATTCAGCCCAGGACTCCACAATTAACCAGAGCTCTCACAAGTTACTTTTTATACTAGATGTCCTTATCTCCTGCTCTGCTCACTGCATGGCACATGGAAACTAACTTTTCTAAACTCTTAACAGAAACTTTCTAAGATGTCCCATCCTCATCCTGATGTTCCAGAGCAATTGTACCTCTGGCTATTTCAATATTTCTGTCCATTAATTGGCAATTGTAATAAACACTTCAATGAATACTAGTTGTTACGTCATATTATCTTCAGATCCTGAACCCATAGATATTCACACGTCATCTGGGACGCTTATTGTACAAATATGAAATAATAAAATTGAGTGCTACTTGTACATCCGACTTAGCAAATTCTGGTCTTCCATAATAATCATTCAGCATTTGTTCCAGATTTATTTATTTCGTGTCAAAAGCATTGCACACATAAGTATAAAACTGATAAAAATAGAAGGAGCACAAGGAGCTAAATAATTTTTGAGCAAATCCAGACAACAGTGACTGCATTGTCTGTAGCTTTTAACAATTCTTCCTCTGTACATGAGGCAGGGCATTGTGGACAAATATACAAGTGCGGAGTTGTTTGTTCTGCTCCACAGAGCGCAAGGTGGGGGATTTTTTCAGTAGTTCCATTTTGCCAGGTTGTCTTTTGATCTGCCCACTCCACTTCAGAGTCTGTTCAGGGACTTCCAAGTTGCCCATTCTTGGTTTTCCCGTGGAGACAGACCCTCATGGGGGACCATCCAATTTGGATTTCCTGGTTTAGCTGTCCAGAGCGATGCTCTTGCTGTTGCTGAGGGAACATTAAGAGGAGTAGTAGTTCTCATGAAACTTTCCCTTGATTTGAGTCTACAGGGAGGAAGCTGATAGCCAAGCAGTGGATGGTTTTCACAGTGTTCAACCTTATATCTCACAGTTAGCTGCAACTTCCCATTACACATCAAAAGCATTGCTTTTGAACATTTGTTCCATATAAAAGAAATATATTTAGAAAACTGGATCTGTAAAACTTGTTGGATTTTTGGGAAAGACGGAAGCTAATCCAGTGGAATTCCAAGCCTGAGCTTTCATATCCTCCTCCAAGATCTGGCAAGGTCTACCTAGTGTGGGGCTGTGTGTTTTTGCAGCTATAGGATGACCTCATGTTCTATTTTTTTCTTTTATTGCTGAAAACTTCCTGAAAGGTAATTTGGGAAATTTATTTATTTTATTTGTTTACAGTATTAATATTCCGCCCTTCTCACCCCACAGTGGACTCAGAGCGGATTACAATGTACATATACATGGCAAACATTCAATGCCATAGACACACAACATATATAGACAGACACAGAGGCAATTTAATTTTTCATGAGGATATTCTGGCCACCAGGGGAGCTGTTGCTTCACCGTCCATTTGTGACACTGTTGAAGTACTTCCTCATTCTTTGCAGGCTTGCTGGAGATTTTTATGGCATCGTAAATGAATTAAATTAGCCTTCCCGCGTAGGCGGTACCTAAGTTTCCTACTTGACAGATGCAACTGTCTTTCGGGCTGCAAAGGTCGACAGCAAGTTACACAAATTGGTCAGATACTCTGACCCGGGCTGGCTTCGAACTCATGATCTTTCAGTCAGTAGTGGCTTGATAACTTCGTCCTCTTTTTTGGAAAGATGGTTGGGAACTCTGACCTCAGAACACAGTCCTGCCAGATTCAGGCTATAAAACCATTTTAGGAGATGGTCCTGGAGTTTCTAACATCAGGTTGCAACATCAGCTTTGTGAAGCCACAAATAATCTGCAGAAGTACGACTATTTGATCTGCACTAAAGATAATCTGAAGAATTTTTAAAAAGAGAAACATTTATTTATTTATTTGCGACATTTATATGTCACCCTTCTCACACCGAAGGGGACTCAGACTTTCTAAAACATCTTTTTATGTGTTACTAATGCATTCAGCTTTGCTATCCACTAACAAAATGCCAAGTGACATCTGCCTTTGCTTCCTACCCCTTTTTTGCTCACTACTGTCTCATATGCTTTCAGTCCACATTAAGACATGCACATCTGTTTTTTAAATTGTGTCTTGACCTTTACTGCAACTAACTTCTGCCATGAAATGTTTTTCTCTATGGAATGAATCGAGTCGTGGCAATTTTTCATTTCAGATTCTGAAAAGATCATTACATCTCAAGATGTGATATA